CCCCAAAACCCCAAAACCCCAAAACCCCTCAACTTAAGATTTAAAATTCATTGTGAATTTTAGTAATTATAATTTAAGATAAAATATCATTATTGAGATGCAGTCTAATGGAAAAATAATTGAGAGAAAGAAGGATCTCTTGAGCATTGGGGAAAGTGAAGAAATCAATTCGGCAGCACAATCCAAAGCTTCAAGCATTGTTGAGATAGATTTAGCTTACAACTAGTTAAGGTAAGTCATTTAATCGATTAAAATCAAATTATAGCAATGCAGGTGGCTTGGATGTATTCCCAAACATCAAAATACTAATATTGGATCATAATGACTTCACATCAATTGTATCACTCCCATCTTTGTAAAAACTTGAGACTCTCAGTTTATCATATAATGCTATAAGAGATCAAGAATCATTCTTATTCCAAGTTTCTTAAAAGGTACCTCTATTGATAATTCTGATAACTTTAGTTTCCATCATTGAGACACTTGAATGTCATGAAAAATCCAATGAATCCTATGTTTGACTCTGAGGAGAAGTATGAGGTGTTTAGAGCAACAGTAAAAATTTGGCTTCCATCTCTGATTACTCTAGATGGTACTGATTTCGCCAGCAATCAAGATATGATTGTAAGTGTTTATATGCTGTTTTTATCAAATTTTTGTTAGAAACAAAAACAAAAAGAAATAGAGTCTAAAAAGTAAAAGGTTGTTCAGCAAGAGTCAAAGAAGCCTTAGAAAACACAATTAAGTAAATAAATTAATAACAATATCAATTTTAGCAAGCATTCCAGAGGAAAAAGCAGCTAGAGCAGCAGATAAAAAGGTAGGATCTTTATATATTTCAACCATAATAATTGATGATAGAAAGCTGGAAATGGTGATGACTTGTTGAATGACTTGAAGAAAAACGCAGCAGGTGGCAAGGGAAAGGGTACCTTTGAATTTAACTAAAGAGCCTATAAGAAATATCACTCATCAAGAAGCTTGCTTGAAAGAATTTTAAAGAGTCATTCTGAAGGTAACAGATTCATCAGAAACGATGATCTCTGAGAATATTACTAGCATTCTATAAGTAAAATGAATTGAATGGAATAATTAGAGCTCAATGATATATTTTTCTAGAGTATGCATACTCAATATTGGAATTATCATTTTCTTGAGCTTATCCATAGCAATCTTAATCATCAAAATTATTTTACTTCACCCATTATTCCTATAAGACCTTTTGGGGTTTTGGGGTTTTGGGG